CTTACGGTTGGCAGATGGCAGCCAGGGGACAGCCCTTTCCTCCTGTCCCTTGGGCAGGAGCACACACTGGTTGCTTCTCCCCCGCCTGACTGGTCCCTCTTTGCAGCATGTCGCTGGGTCGGGCCAGAGCTCCAGAGGTGAGCTCTCCACACCCTAAGAGCTATGTGTCTCTGCCTCCTCTGGGTCCCAGGAGACTCAGCACGGGTCAGAGGAAATGTGGACACACTGAAGACTCCTTAGGAAGATCGACATCGATGGAAATGATCACCCTGTGCTGACCTAACCTAGAGGCCCAGGCCAGGGTACCTTAGTCAGGTGACTGACTGGCCTCTGTCTTCTGTGGCAAGATTTCTGTGCTTAAATTTAAAACACTGTTTCAAGTGGCAGTGATGTAAGGGACAGTGTCTGCCTAGCACTGGCCAGCCCTGGCCCTGAGTCATGATGGCAGCAGTGTGCCCAGGGCACTGTGGAGTGTACGTGTGCTTCGTAAGTGTCCCAGCCCTTCTCTTCCCTGCACTGGGAACCTCACTTGTCAGGGAGTCTAACGGACGAAATGGCTCCATTCGCACATCAGAAAACAGTTGGGGGCCAGGGCTTGAATTTCAGCCAGTGCGTCACTTCTGACCACCAAAGCCTGGGACGGGGCTGCCAAATGCTTGCTTTTTCCAAAGGGTGACTGAATTCCAAAAGAAAGGCCACCCAGGCCAAGGGAATGAATGTGCCTGGCCTTTACTGTGTCTCGGTACTGGCACTGTCTAATTACTTCAGGGGGTTCTGTTTGGAGATAGATGTTGGCCCAAAACCTGGACCTTGCCGAAGTTCTGCAGAGCTCTGGTAGTGGTAATGTCTTTCCTTCATAGGGCATCCTCAGAGACTGATGAAACCGCAGGGTATTTTATGGTAAAGCAGAACAGATTCCACCAGCTGCTACTGTTGAAAAAGGTGCTGCTTAACACGCGGGCCGCTCCTCCAGGCAGAGGGGTTGTTGCTTCTTGCAGCAGCTCAAAAACATCTTCACTCTCCCAGCTCTGCAGCTGAGTGACGCTGGTGTGATTCAAAGGGCTGTTGAGACTACTGAGTAGTATCTGCCCACTTAAGCATGAGGATCTACTTACCTCTATAATGCCAGCACTGGAGAGGCAGAGACAAGAGGATCCTGGAGGTCACTGGCCAGCCAGTCTAGCTGAATCAGTGAGCACCAGGTTCAGTGAGAGACCTTGTCTCAAAAATACAAAGTGTAGAACAATCAAGGAAAGACACTTGATTTCTGGCCTCTAAGCATACATGCATACATGTGCCCATGAACACACATACACACACACACACACACACACACACACACACACACACACACACACACGAAATTTTAAAGAGCCTAGAACTTGTCACTGGACTTGCAGCTGCTTTTTAGTTAGAGTCGCTTATTTTTTCATGTCTGGCTGTGGCTGTAACCAGGGAGCTTTGCCGAAGCAGGTGTGGGAGGAGCACACAGTGGGAGTGTGCTGAGACACCTGGCTGGGCTGACTCCTCTCTCTCCCTTCACAGGCTTTTTCTTGTCCTCCAGCACACATAGGGATGGATGGGTGAAGCCCACTGGGCTGTGGCACTGCCCAGCAGCCGTCATCTCGTCAAGGCCCCTTGGTGGCAGTAGGATGCACCTCTCTGCAGTGTTCAATGCCCTCCTGGTGTCTGTGCTGGCTGCAGTCCTGTGGAAGCATGTGCGGCTGCGGGAGCATGCGGCCACCCTAGAGGAGGAACTGGCCCTCGGACAGCAGTCCCTGGATCCAGTTCCGGGGCTGAGGATTGACTACCCAAAGGCCCTGCAGATCCTCATGGAGGGCGGCACCCACATGGTGTGCACAGGCCGCACCCACACAGACCGCATCTGCCGCTTCAAGTGGCTCTGCTACTCCAATGAGGCTGAAGAATTCATCTTCTTCCATGGCAACTCCTCCGTGATGCTGCCCAACCTGGGCTCCCGGCGCTTCCAGCCGGCCCTGCTGGACCTGTCCACTGTGGAGGACCACAATGCCCAATACTTCAACTTCGTGGAGCTGCCCGCTGCGGCCCTCCGCTTCATGCCAAAGCCAGTGTTCGTGCCTGACGTGGCCCTCATCGCCAACCGCTTCAACCCCGATAACCTCATGCATGTCTTCCATGACGACCTGCTCCCCCTCTTCTACACGCTGAGGCAGTTCCCTGGCCTGGCCCAGGAGGCCCGGCTCTTCTTCATGGAGGGCTGGGGCGAGGGCGCCCACTTTGACCTTTATAAACTCCTTAGCCCCAAGCAGCCGCTGCTGCGTGCTCAGCTCAAGACGCTGGGCCGGTTGCTCTGCTTTTCCCATGCTTTTGTGGGCCTGTCCAAGGTCACCACCTGGTACCAGTATGGCTTTGTCCAGCCCCAGGGCCCAAAGGCCAACATCCTCGTCTCGGGCAATGAGATCCGGCAGTTCACCCGCTTCATGACCGAAAGGCTGAATGTGAGCCACGCAGGGGCACCCCTGGGTGAGGAATACATTCTGGTCTTCAGCCGCACCCAGAACAGACTCATCTTGAACGAGGCAGAGCTGTTGCTGGAGCTAGCACAAGAGTTCCAGATGAAGACAGTGACAGTGTCCCTGGAGGACCACACCTTTGCCGATGTCGTGCGGCTGGTCAGCAACGCCTCCATGCTAGTCAGCATGCATGGGGCCCAGCTGGTCACGGCCCTCTTCCTGCCCCGTGGGGCCACCGTAGTCGAACTCTTCCCCTATGCTGTCAACCCTGACCACTACACCCCCTATAAGACGCTGGCCACTCTACCTGGCATGGACCTGCAGTATGTAGCCTGGCGAAACATGATACGGGAGAACACAGTCACACACCCTGAGCGGCCCTGGGACCAAGGGGGCATCACCCACCTGGACCGGGCTGAGCAGGCCCGAATCCTACAGAGCCGAGAGGTCCCCCGGCATCTCTGTTGCCGGAACCCTGAGTGGCTCTTCCGAATCTACCAGGACACCAGGGTGGACATCCCGTCCCTCATGCAATCCATTCGGCGTGTGGTGAAGGGCCGGCCAGGGCCGCGGAGGCAGAGGTGGACAATCAGCCTGTACCCAGGCAAGGTGCGGGAGGCCCGATGCCAGGCGTCTGTGCAGGGTGCCACCGAGGCTCACCTGTCTGTGTCCTGGCAGATCCCATGGAACCTCAAGTACCTAAAAGTAAGGGAGGTGAAGTATGAGGTGTGGCTGCAGGAGCAGGGGGAGAACACGTACGCACCTTACATGCTGACCCTGCAGAATCACACCTTCACGGAGAACATCAAACCTTTCACCACCTACCTGGTGTGGGTCCGCTGCATCTTTAACAAGAGCCTCCTGGGACCTTTTGCAGATGTGCTGGTGTGCAGCACGTAGCCAGCAGGCCATGGCCGGGTCTCAGGAGGTGGCCTTTGCAGCTCAGCTTTCCCAGGCCCAAGTCCTGCTGGCGACTATGGTGATGACGCATCTATTTATTGAGTAGGCCAGGGCTAGGCCTGCTCCCCGTGTCTTACTGCTGCGGGTGTGCAGTTTGCAGAAATCTTTGCCCTGAAGAGGTGGTGCATGCCCCCTCTGCCACTCTGATTATTCCCACCCAGGAGGAATTCCTTTGTGGTGAGGAGGCAGCACAGGCAGGTCCCAGGGATCTGCTCTTGCTAATTGATTGTGCTGTTTCCTGCCATGGCTTTGGTACAGGTCCTGGCTTCTAGAAACAGTGGTCATGTAGTTGGTGGGCTGGGCAGATAGTCTCTACGAATTTCACCTGTAGCTGAGTGACAGGTGTGTTTGGAGCAGTCATTAAATGATTATGAACACCGTGGGTCAAGTCTTTTAATGTCTTATTTTATATATGAATTATACCTTGTATTGGGTTTCATATGACATTTTCATGTAGATGTATAATGCATTTCAGTCCTATTCAGCCTGTTAACCTTTCCTGTTCCCCCTGCTACTGAGCCTTTCCTCTTTCCAACCCACCCCTCCTAATTTCATGTCCTTTTGAGTGGGTCTTTATATGAGCCAATGAGTTTCATTAGGGTTGCCTAGAAAGCACACGGTTGGTTTGTTTGCACGGGCCTTACCATCGACTGCCCAACTAGAGAAAATGTCTCCCTCCATCCATCAGCTGTGCTCCTCAGAGAAGGATGAGGCCCACAAGCTCGTCCCATTTCCATGGTGGGTATAGGTGGACCCGATCCTGTGTCGGTCATCACAGCTGCCGTGTATTCAAAAGTACCCAGAGGTCAGTGTTCCACACCACCACCACCCCTTCTTTTTGCCCCTTTCAGAATGTTCCTTGAGCCTTGGAGAGAGTGAGATGGATGACCAGGGGTGAGCATTCAGTAGTCAGTCACTTACCCTCAGCACTTAACCAGTTACAGGTCTCCAGGTACTGCTGGCCACTGCCAGAGCAGGCCCTGCCAGAGCTGAGAGCAGGGCTGATCCACAGGCATGGAAAGGTGTTTAGAAGACAGTCTCATAGGTGTGCCTTAGCCATGAAACATCCCCATTAGAGCCCATGACCTCCCAGCCAGGCTTTTGAACAGGTTATAACATCAAACCTGAATTCCCTCCTGTGGGATGGCCCTCGAATCCAATCAGAAAGCAGTTGGTTGCCCCCTTAACAGACCTGCCACTACTGTATCAGTAGACTCATCCTGCCTGGCCGGTTGGTATTGTGGCACATAGAGTCTGCAGCCAAGTAAGACTGCTTATCCTCCCCTAGAAGCCTGCCTAACACTTTTTATAATACTGTGAGGGTTAGTGGGCAGTAAGGAAGCTTCCAGTTCCAACTTGATTTCTCTGCCCTGTGACAGGTGTTTGGTGTCTTCAGCTGTAGGGTTTTATCATCTAGCACTGGTGGGCAACGGAGTGGCAATGGCCTATATTTGGGGGTGACCTTAGGAGCCACCTTAAGCTACAGCTCACAGGGAGATAGCTTTTGGGCAAGTCTTCTTGGACAACAGGAAGCAAAGTTGGTGCTGAGTACCCAGATGACCTTTAATTTTGATTGTCAAAGGAGATGACACAGTGGGATAGCATCGGGATTGTGAAGGGAGCACGCTGTGCCCACCTTGCATGGGCAGTGTCTTGCACGGAGCCTATGAAGAGGAGTGCATCTGTGGGGAATAGCCACAAAAATCACATTTGACCTAGGTAGTGCTTGGTCATGCATTCTCCCTGATCGCAGTTAATAGTGAATCCATAGACATGTTCTCACTAAAGTCAGGAGTAAGATGTAAATATTGCTAGCTGTTATTCAACCTTTCTCCCAAAAAACAAACCAACAAACAATGAAGGTCACACAACATCATAAATGAAGAGAAATTAAAAATAAAATGGAAATTTTGATTTTCCCCTTAAAGGCTCATATAAATATTTATCTAGAGGGCTAGAAAGATTGCTCAGCAGTTAAGAGCATCAGATGCTCTCCCAGAGGACCCAACTTGAGTTCCCAACACTGCGTGCATGTGGTGCACAGACATACATGCAGACAAAACACTCATACACAAATATTTTTAAGTGGATACTTGTGCTACCAGACAGAATAAAGTAACTTTGATCAGAACAGTGTCCTGTTGAAGTAGGGAGCTAGGAAACTGTCAGCAGGGCTAGTACAGTTCACAAGTGACGTCTGTGTGCTTGGGAACTTATCTGATAAGAATATACTTTCAGATTGGTGGGAACAGAATAGACACTTGAATAGAATCTGGAGCAAGGAAACTTAAGTTACACCCCTAACTCAAGCCACTTTCAAATGCAAATTTCACACAAATATGCACTGAAGTAAAAGTACACCAATAATAGTTCTGTGATCTGAAGGAAAACAGCCTAAGAAGACAGGAACCCGGGAGACTCACAGGCAAAAATCAACAAGTTTGACTGCATAGAATTAGTTTCCTACTTCACGAAAGACAGAGTCAAGCTGTAGATGGCAGAGAGGAAACACAGACAAGCTAACAGAAAGGGCTGAGTAGCTGCAGCTCAGAGTCAAAGCTAACACACTACCAAGGAAGGGACAGACATCTTACCCTGAAAAGTCGGCCCATAAAACATGCAAAGGCTAACACTGAGATGGAGATAATTTCTACAATTATAAGGGAAATTCAGTTTTTATAAAGGGCTTCTCCCTGTTGCCATTGGAAAGATGGCTTAATGATTAAGAGTATGCTCTCGTAGAGGATTACACAGAGTTTAGTTCCCAGCACCCATACTAGGCAGTCTGATTGTCCTTTTCTGTCCTCCACAGGCACCCAAACACATGTGTAATTACACACACACACACACACACACACACACACACACACACACACACACAATTAGGGGCTGGGGAGATGGCTCAGTGGTTAAGAGCACTGGCTGCTCTTCCAGAGGACCCAGGTTCAATTCTCAGCACCCACATGGCAGTTCACAATTGTCTAACTCAAGTCCCAGGGGTCCCTTCTGGCTTCTGCAGTCACCAGGTATGCACATAGTGCACAAATTTATAGGCAGGAAAAACACCTATGCACCTAAAAGTAAATTTTTTAATTAAAAAATGAATCTTAAAAAAATTAGGCTTCTCTGGTTGGGCATGTGAGTTCAGTTGGTAGAGTACTTGCCTAACATTCATGAAGTTCCAGGTTCATGCATATACCTACATACCTCACACAGCACTGCATGTACATGTGCAGGGAATGGTTCACAGAACATTCTTAAACACATTTATTGTTGCATGGGAGTAAATAGCCAGAGCTGAGAATGCAGACAGGAATGTGAGGCTGAAGGTCTTGCACCATCCCCAGCAGGTGAACTGTTGCATGGCACCGTAGGCTCCTCCAGCTTCTGGCTTTTCCCATTTGTCAACAGGATGGCCAGCACTCACCAGCCCAGGCTTACATTGTGGGAAGTCCTCCAGCAAGGTGTGCTCTGCCCAGACAGAGATGGGCTCACAGGTCCTTGTCCCTGAACAGTGTGAGGTTGTGCTTCTGGATGTGTCTCAGCAAGACCTGCCCTCGCCTCTCCAGTGTCTCAAGGACGTGCTTCAGACCTCTGGCTCCACCTTGGCTCTCCCAGAACACCTGGTCCATCTGCAGCGACTTGAGCAGCAGGTTCTGTAGACACCCTGATGAAAGAACCTTCACAACAGACTCAGGAAACCTGGGGCCGAGTCCCAGAGTTCATGCAAGAAAGGAGAGGCATAAGTGAGCTCAGAGAGTCTCCACATGAACCCAGAACTTGCCCCCTGGGGAACCCAGCAAAATGAGCCAGGAAAATGCCAGGTCTGTGCCTGCTAGCTCCTTGTCAGAGGATTCTGTGACTTGCTGTGTCATAAAAGCAGATGGTAGTGCTCTCAGAGAGCCCTCATCTTACAGTGAAGCCTGGAGAACCAATTCTACCACTCTGGCCTCAGCTGGGCACACTTAGGGCCCCAAAAGGCCCTGAGAAGGTTGAGTTGCCTACTGGGAGTAGACAAGGAAAGGCAGATCCCCAGGCTAGGTCTTTCACATAGATCCAGGATGAGCTAGCCTTCAGACACTGAAGCAGGGCAGCTGGTATTCTGCAGGAACCAGAAGCCCTCTAGATCTGGGGGGACAGGTCTGATGACTGAAGCCCCTCTCAGCCTTCCTCAGTCCCTGAAGCCTCAGATCCAACTTTGGTCTGGTGGACTTTGGCCATCCAAGGACTGTAGTTGAAGGTTCCACAGTCTACAGCAGGGCCATCAAGCCTCATCCCTCAAACGTCTACCCAATTCCCTGGATCCTCACCCATCTATGCCCTCCAGCAGCCGAAAGTTCAGCTTGTCCTCGGGATGCTGAAGGTTGCCAGCATTGTCTATGTACACCAAGTGAGATGGATCACTGCTCCGGACCTCAGGGGAAGAAGATGGACAAGGGCAGCCATTGGTACAATCGGAGTGTAACTAGTACCACTCTGTCAGTTTGTGTCCCATGGCTGAGGGCTTACTCTACACCAGCACTGTGTACCATCTCTGGGGATTGTCTCAGCAGCCGCAGGAGGCATAAAACTATTAAGCAATTTACACAGGATCACACAGCTAATGTGCAACTGGGGCAAGCTCAAACCTGGACCCATAGCAGTGAGCCATAACTGCACCTTCTAAATTGCAAGGCAAAGGGGCTCATTCCTGGTATAGTGGACAGTGGGGTCAGGAGCGTGGGTGGGAACTGAACTGGCAGGTGCAAAAGAAAAAAACACTCCTCAGGGTCACAAGCTTCATGCCACATCACAGGCGTGTTTCACACTACACACACACACACACACACACACACACACACACACACACACACACACCACACATCTCTTCCATCTGTCCCTAAATATCACCAAGAACATACAACCATGTCCTTTATCTCTACAGATCACTGGCCATACCCTAATTTCATAGGAAGAGTCTTTAGCATCTCTTATATCCTTTCCACACTAAAACAAGCAAGATAGAATTCTCTAGTACTTAAAAAAAAAAATATGGCATGGGGCTGGGGAGATGGCTCAGTGGGCAAAGGGTTTACCATGCTGAGCACTAAGAACCTCATTAAAAAAAAAGCCAGGTGAGGTTGTGTATATCTGCAGTCCCAGTGCTGAGGAAGAGAGAAAGGAGGTCCCTGACGCTAAAGGCCAGTCGAGCTGGATTGGCAAGTTCAGTGAGAGACCCTGTCTCAAAACTAAAGCGAGGAATGATAAGGACAATGCCTGATGTCAATCTCTGGCATTCACAGATTGCCTGCACTCATGGGAACACATACACACTTTTAAAATCTGGTGTTTGGCAATAAGAGGCCATCTCTTCTGACTTTCACTCCCAAGCACACACTCGGTTCCCACAGTCTCCGAAATCCCATGCTACTTTCCATAGCCATCCCTAGCAATTGAGGCTTCAGGATCAAAGCATTCCCTCTGTCTACCTCTTCTCTTGTGGTGGTATTGTGTTCCCCAAAATATTGTGCACCCTAATAAACTTATCTGGGGTCAGAGACAGAACAGCCACTAGATACAAAGGCTAGAAAATGGTGGCACTCACACCTTTAATCCTAGCATTCCAGAGGTAGAAATCCCTCTGGATCTCTGTGAGTTCAAGGCCACATTGGAAACAGCCAGGCATGGTGACACACGCCTTTAATCCCAAGAAGTGAGCCTTTAATCCCAGGGAGTGGTGGCAAACACAGAAAGATATATAAGGCGTGAAGACCAGAAACTAGAAGCATTTGGCTGGTTAAGCTTTCAGGCTTTTGAGCAGCAGTTCAGCTGAGATTCATTCTGGATGAGGACTCAGAGGCCTCCAGTCTGAGGAAACAGGACCAGCTGAGGAATTGGCAAGGTGAGGTAGCTGTGGCTTGTTCTGCTTCTCTGATCTTCCAGCGTTCACCCCAATAACTGGCTCAGGTTTGATTTTATTAATAAGAACTTTTAAGATTGCTGCTACGTTCTCTCTTCCACTCACAGCCCTGAAAGCCCTCAAAGTTCCCTGAAGTATCTTGAGGAACAGTGAAAACAGGGCTTCACCAAAGAACAATAAGACAGCAACCCACAGAACCAGGGAGGGTATATAGCAGGGGGACCTTAGGATAACTGTGGCTTATAGTAAGTTTTGGTTTTACTCAATTACTGGGCAAGCCTCAATGAAAAATTTCACTATTAGGATAAGAATTTATACTGTATCAAGCTTATAATAAATAGATAAATAAATTAAATAAATAAATAAATAGAGATCACACAACACTTACTATCCACATAGGCAGAACAGCATCTACACTGAGTTTGGGAGGAAAAGAAGCAGTTCTTGCTATGGGGGTGTTATCATTCCATCCTTCAGGGAGCTTCACTAAGACAAGAAGTAAACAACTCAGAATAGCCTCAGGAAGTCCCTGAAACTGACCAGTTTTACTAGGGAGGGTAGTTTATAAGCAGTGAAGACTATCTTTATCTCACAACCCCAGCTGCTTGAAAGAAGCAGAGACCTAAAAGACACAAAGACCAGCAGAGCTTTCTGGAAGAGGCTCAGACCAACCAAGCCACCTAGAAAGGACATTCTTCAGCCTGTTGAGTTTCTTGCAGGCTGTGCAGTGTCCTCCACATCCCCAGCTTTTATGTCTTATCACCCATCCCGGGGAGACTTTAGAGATATAGCTGCCTTTGAGTCATTTCTGCTTCTGTAAGGAACCATAATAAAACCGAATTGGACTTTGTTGGTTAAAAAAAGAAAGAAAAAAAACAAAAACAGGGCTTCACACACACACCCATTCCACCTCAGCTGCATTCTCAATGTCCATTTTGTCTGTTTTATATATTTGGCTTCCTTGAAGTATTATTTCAGCCAAGGTTTGCTGGCAAAGAAAAGAAAGAAGACTGGGAAACCCCTGTGTCCAGCCATCAGGAGCATCCTCTGCAGGAGAGAGGTGTACCCAGTGCTCACATGGCAAGGCACTGTGCATGCACAAGAAACGTACCAGGATGTGGACCAGCCGCAGCTCTTCTGGGTTCTGACATTTCTCTCGGAGTCCCTCTTCCACACAGGGGTCTGAGGGTGCAGGCTCGAAGCCACAGCAGTAGCGATCCAGGCGGTCATGAACCTGCAGAGAAGGCTAGCATGGTACTGGTCTTCTCCAGACCCAGTATCAAGGCCATTTGGTCCACTGGGCCCCACACCAGTCCAGGGCTGCCTGATTCAGGGGCTGTCTGTCCTAGAGAGCCCTGCACTAGCCTCCAGCTAGGAGGAGGAATCTGCCCTAATTCTTTTAAGCCTGGAGCTCATGTCAATATCCTGAAGACGAGCTTGGGGTCACAGGACCCCCTATCGGCTCCTCTCTGCTTCCTCTGCCTGTCACCACTACTCATCTCTTTATGTTGGCGCGTTAGGAAGGGTGGCCAAGCCTAGTCCATTAAGTCTGCTAGAGCCAGGCTTCTGTCCTGAAACTCCAGGACCCAACCCTGACCCCAGAGTGTCAGAATGAGTTGATGGGCAGCAGGTTGGTGTCAGAGTTAGCCAGTGTATAAAGGACTGTCACTCAGATGACCAGCAGTCACTGCCACCTCTACCTCATTTCCTCCTCACTGCAGACCGTATCATCCCGAGCTCAGACACATTTGGAGTCACAGGAGAACACATACAGCTGGGATTTGAAGTTGACATTGTTGAGGCATAGGATGGGTCCCCCGTTTGTGGACAAGGTGGGCTGCATGTGGTGGGGGGAGTAGGATGGTGGTACCCACAAAAGCTGAACCAGGTCTCTAGCCTGGCTGACTGGCAGCAACAACAGATGATAGTTGTGGACCTGCGGCCACCACCTGTGCTTGTTGCTGCCTCCAAGTCACAGGGTGATGGTCCTGGATTCTCTGGTACCTTCTCCTCTTCCTTCACCTTAACAAGACTAAGACCAAACCAGTGAACCCACAGTGAGCAATGGTGGGGACTCCTTGATCTCTGTGAGTAGCTCACACTTGCCATTCTTCAAGGAGGAGGGCAGTATCCCAGAGAGGGTGTGGGCCGTTGGGCATGCACACCGATCAAAAGCACCCAGACTTCCTGCATGGGAGCCCCCTTCCCTGCTGAACTGGTCTGCTGGCCTCACCAAATGAGGTCCCCTAGACTGTCAGTCACACAGTGCAGATGGACCCAGGCTCCCCTGCTCATCTTTCCCTCCTCCCTGGTTCCCCAGGCTCCCTGCAGCCTCATTCTTTGTTCTCTGACATTCTTTCCTTCCTTGCTGAAGTCAAGCCTTTATGCTTCAGAATCTGACTCTCAGTGCCATGCTCTCAGGGCTGTGCTCCCTGAGCTTCCAACTCTCAGGGCTGTGCTCCCTGAGCTTCTGACTCTCAGGGCTGTGCTCCCTGAGCTTCCAACTTTCAGAGCCGTGCTCCCTGAGCTTCTGACTCTCTAGACTGTGCTCCCTGAGCTTCTGACTCTCAGGGCTGTGCTCCCTGAGTTTTCTCCCTTCCAGGTGTGTGGTTGCTAAGGCTTTAGCAGATGCTCTTGGTGCCCAACCCATGAACCCAGGTTCACCTGTAAAGGTCTCATCATCCCATTCCCGAGTTCAGAGGGGCCTTCTGGTCCCTGAATACCTACCCACGTGACAGACTGGAAGTAATATAAAATTAATGCTCCTTCCACCCAGAGGCAACCTCCAACCAATGAACTATCAGAGCTGATGTGCACACTCCATCCTCAGAGGGCTGATGCACTTCGCAGGGCTCTGCGGTGCCGCACAGACCCTTATTAGGGTCGGGTCTCACTTGCCCATGGCGCAGCCTTCTCATGACCACTCTGTGGGCTTTTCTTCCTGCTCTGCCTCTCTTCCCCATTATGCAGCAGACTTCCTGGGACCACTTCCCAGATGAACTGCTCCTACCCACATCCTAGTACCAAGTTCTGTTTCAAGAGAAACCCTGGCAGGGGAGAGGACCCACACCATCGCCTTTGCTGCCAGGTTCACCACACCTCTTCAGATCCAGGCTTGTCAGAACCTCTGACCTCCATGCATCTCACCCCAGAACAAACAAATAAATGTGATTTTAAAATTTAAAAACTGGGGTGGCACCACCCTATGTGGCCACATGGAGAGCCACGTAGGCAGAGGAAAGATTTAAAGCAGGGCATATGCTTTGGGCACATGGTTGTAAGAGTTCTGTTGTCTACACTCCTGGGAGGGACAGACCCAAAGTTCCCCTCAGGAGGCACTCGTCTCCCCCGCTCCCCCAGTGCATAGGCTCAAGGCCCAGAGCCCAACGTGGAGTAAGCATTTGGTGACGTGACTCCAGGCAGGCCTAGTATTTGGAGAGCAATGGTGTGGTGTGCTGGTTAGTTAAGAGGGAACCTCAACTGAGAAAATGTCTCTATCAGACTGGCCTGCAGGCAATTCTATGGGGACATTTTCTCAACTGATCATTGATATGGGAGGGCCCAGCCCACTGTGGGTAGTATCACCCCTACACAGGTGGTCCTGGTGTTATAATAAACCAAGGTGAACAAGCCATGGGGAGCAAGCCAGCCAGCGGCACTCATTCATGGCCGCTGCTTCAGTTCCAGCCTCCAGGTTCCTGCTTTCAATTCCTGACCTGACTTCCTTTCACAATGGACTGTAAGATCAAATAAACCCTTTCCTCCTATCAAAGACTATTGGGATCCAGCCCCTACATATTTCTACAGCTTGCAGCATCCTCCCAAGCTGCTTTTGGTCGTGGTGCTTATCACAGCAATAGAAAGCAAATTAGGACAGCCTATAACCCAGGAACCCTGCCTGCTTGCTTGCCTTTGGCTGGAGACTGGAACATGGACATGGTAACTGCTCTGGCCTGTGCTCTGCCCTGGACGCACAGCCAGAACCAGCACAGGACTGCTGTTCCTGCCAGGCTCCCCACCCCCACCCACATCTCCAGGAGCCAGCACAGGACCCTGTTCCTGCCAAGCTCCCCCCGCCCATCTCTATGAACCAGCACAGGACCCTGCCCCTGTACCGCACCCCCATCTCCAGGCTGCTCTGTTCAGATTTCCAGTCATGCATCATTTATTTGCAGACATGGGCCGTGCTGGCCTCCTGAGATCTACGCCCACCTGGACTCCTGGCAGGAAGAGTGTGCTCACTGAGGTGCCAGGTTGATTATTTTGCCACGCTGTGTTTTGTTTTCCCATCAGCTGAACGTGACCAAGCTCAGGCTGCAGCCCACATTCCTTCAGGACTTTGCCCTTCCTCCACGCTTTGCAAAAATGAGGAGTTACCCAGAGAAATGATGATTCTGTGCACTCCCAGTGCACTGAGCCAGCCTGGCAGTGCCACAAACTGTAACCCAATCTGGGGCTTTCAGTTAGTGAAGGCCTTGCAAAGCTCAGGCTGTGGAGGCGCCACCCTGAGAGCTTTACCAGCACAGTGCCCTGGGTCTTTCCAGGGGGTCGAGAGGGACCGATTGTGAAGAGGACAGTGATCCACGGAAGAAGACAGACCAGTGCCCTGAGGGCCACACAGCTAGGAGTGGTGACCCATGGACTTGAAACCAGGAAGTCTGACTCTGACCATGAAGACAGATGGTGTGGCAGGCATATCTTCTCTGGAACTCAGCTGTGAATTCTTGGACAGGAAAATAAATGACCAAAATAAAATAAATAATTAAATAACCAGTCTGACCCCAGAACCCAGAATGCATTCAACACAAGTTAAAACATAGTAAGGTCTTCCTAGTGCAAGAATAAATGAACCATGAAGAACACACAAGGTCCCCGGGGAGGCCGGTAGTCCCTGGAACCTGCCCTCCATACCCACCACCTAGTTTCAGGGGATGCCTGGCTCTGTCACCTTCCAAACAGAATATCTGGCTGGGACGAGACACTGCAGTTGGTCAAGGAAGGCCATAGGCCCTTCTGATAGGGATGGAAGGCCAGGCAGGGCCAGCACAGGACGTGTGTGGCTCTAGTCCTCTGACTAGGTGCACCAGGTTCCTGGGCCAAGTCAGGCAGATTCCAGAAAAGATGCCTGATATTCTTGTGGCCCACACCCTTCAGCTGGGACTGTTGCTAGAGTTTTCCTGCCTGGCCCACAGTCAGGACAAATCTCTCTCACCTGCCAGTCCCACAGCCACTCAGACCCGACCAAGTAAACACAGAGACTTATATTGCTTACAAACTGTATGGCCGTGGCAGGCTTCTTGCTAACTGTTCTTACAGCTTAAATTAATCCATTTCCATTAACCTATACCTTGCCACATAGCTCGTGGCTTACTGGCATCTTCACATGCTGTTTCTCATCGTGGTGGCTGGCAGTGTCTCTCCGACTCAGCCTTTCACTTCCCAGCTTTATTCTCCTCCTTGTCCCACCTACACTTCCTGTCTAGCCAATGGCCAATCAGTGTTTTATTTATTGACTAATCAGCAACACATTTGCCATACAGAACATCCCACAGCATGGGACCCTCCTCATTTCCTTTCCACTTGGCAGGCTAAGTATCCAGAACCTCTCCTGGGGTGGGGGTCATTCTTTCCTTCATAGAAACACTATCTTTCCCAGAGAGTCAATTCCTCATGTCTCAGGGCCATTCACACGCATGCACATATACATATGCACACACGTGCACATGTGGATACACATACACATGCACACATACACAAAATTAAAAATAGATAAGCCAACAAATAAACTAGGCATGATGGCATGTGCTTCTAGATATAGCACTGGGGAAATGGAGACAGATGGATCCCCAAGGTTCAGCTGCCTGCCAGGCTAGCCTAAGTGACTAGCTCCAGACCAATTTTTGAAAAAAAGAAAGAAAGAAAAAGAAAAAAAGATCAATAGGCACCTGAGGAATGCAACTCAAAAGTCTACAATCTCTGGCCTCAACACACACACACACACACACACACACACACACACACACACACACACACACACACCTATCCACCTACCCATACACATGCAGGGGAGAAGGTGGAGAATAAAATGGAGTTAGTAGAGGGGAGTAACAAGATGACCATATAGAAATCACAGCCACGCCACAGTCAATGAGCAGCCGCCCTAGACATATGCTGGAAGGAAAGATCCTGCCCTTGATGGTCCCCAGGAGGTGAAGTATGAGAAAATGATGACAC